ACAGCAGCAGAATACCACAGAAATATCAGACGAAACATGAAAACACTATATATTGTATTTCAGCCTGAACCCTCTATATTGCAATTCAAGGAATTAACCCCATATGTGCATCCATTTCCCACCTTGGTATCACCCACCCCTGAAAACAAACTCTTAATACCACGCTGAAGCGTTTGGTAACAAAACAAAAACATCGGCGAAATCATATATTTCCCGAAACATATTTGATCATATTCGAACGTATTTATTGAGGTGTGTAAATTAAATGTAAAAACATTATTTTGAACGTTTTTCTATGGCAACAACAATGCCCCGACATCGTATTTTATGCATGCAATTTCATACAAAATAGTATTTGTATTGGGAAGTCATAGTAAAAAAAAAAATCGCAATTTTCCGAGGTTTCCGGGATTTCCTGTTTCCAAGGTTTCCGACAAGTCCACTCTAGTGGAAGATTTGTCATATATGTTGAGAGACATGGATAAAATGAACACAGTGATATTATCTGTATTTTGGCGCTAAATTACTCATTGTAATTTCTGTTTACGGATCTACGTACAGTACCTTCCAGGCAAGATACAACTTCTTCAAATAGGAGATGCTCAAATGAGTGGTTTCATGTAGGAAGCCAAAATGGCGAATCCTGGGTTATTTTGCGGTAACCCGGCTTTCACTATTTATACACTCCCATGATAAAAACAAAATAAATGTCATAACCTTTAAACGTGTTAATAATAATAATTTAGACTATCATTTGATACAAACGAGTATAATTCACATAGGAATGACATTTCGAATGAAAACACACACTCCGATAAACCATGTCTTTATTTGTTCAGGGAATAAATGACAGAATAGACAAATTTAAACCGTATTGTAGAGTATGGTATTTGTTTTACGATTTGATTCTTTGCCGTGTGTTGCGTTATACCATATTTATACATATTTGCAAGATAACACATTTCAAAGCAACACGTGTTTTATTGCTCTATCAGTAGTAATAACAATTCTAAACCGTTACGCATACACACCTCGTTTGCGTAATATTTTGCAACAGAATTGTAGACAATTCTGCAATGTATGATAAATGAACGACCCGAAAAGGCGGCACCCATGAATTTGTTAGTTCGATTTTTCAGATAATTTCTAAAATTTTATATTGTGTGCAAACAATAACGCGAAACGCAAAGTTTTCTCCATTGCTGCATCAAGGAAGACCTCCATTTTACATAACATGTCAACATCGCAGTTATAACGGTATTGAGTTCTCCGAAAGCATAGACAACAGTTTTCAAACGACTACTAACAAACTTGATATTCACCCAACAGTCGATTGGTCACAATGTATTAAGGTGTGAACATGTATAGCGTTCTTAGGGATGCTGCATCCGTTTTGGTTTCGCTGGACCTTTGCTGTAGGGCTGTGTGCAGGGACATTGCAAGTCATACGTCTAGATCAACGCAGCAATATACGTAGAGGCTAGTTGTAAATATATTAGACCCCTGTAGGTTCTCATATGGGCAATTATGTGCAGAAACTGAATTTCTTTCACTGCCTAAAATTAGAATATTCGGTATTACACAACAGGCCCTTACTCCCTCGACTGTTCTGGGTTTTGTCAATGTATCGAGAATACGCTCGCTTTGTTCCTTTTGATATGATTAGTTTTATGCGTCATTCAAGATGGCGGCCCCCATATAGTAAATATCGTATTTATGTTATTAATGTAATGAATGATCACTTCGTTGAATGAACGCATTTAGCCAAGCAGTAGAAGGTGTGGCAATTGACGGTCACCAAATATTAACCACGAATATTCGATGTTATGTACCACGTGACACTCTTAACCCCTTTGACCATTTTGATGTTCGCGTCGCATAGATATATCAGGGGGAAAATCTTCTCTCTGGGGTTCTCCACACTTGCCAGGGGGGAATCTCGTCTCGTCTCTCTATCGCGTCCCCTTGAAACGAAATACGTTTCAACTTTCGTCTTAGTCGATCTGTAGAGCACTCTATAAGACACAGCGCCCCGGGGAAAAATCCCCAAGACAATCGCAAGGCTGACCCAAGACTCGCCCAAGACTCTCCAGACTGGACTCTCGACTGCGTCTATCGTGCTGTACTCGCCAAGACCAACTCAAAACTCTCTTTATTCATTTTCAAAACTCTAACCAATTACAAAACAGTAAAAAGACTCTAGGGCGTAACCTTCAATCATAAAGCCAATCACACTAAGTACTGAATACGTCATATCTTTTGATTAATCGTTCACTACATTAATAACTACGAATACCAACTGACAGAAAGAGTAGTCACAATAGCGACGGTTATCTCGTAATTAGTTCCAAATCACTGAGTCGAGTTCCGTCCAAAACTTCAAATAGGCCTAAACGATGACAGACATAACACAGCAATTCAGCTAATAATCAACTAATTAAGTCGGTCAACAGATACGCGAAAACTAATTTATGACAGATACTCGCGACGATATTTATTCTATCAGGGTCTGACCATTGAAACTCAGGGTAGATTTTCGCAAAAGTAATACAGGAAAATCTCGTAGCGTGTTTGGTGGATGTAAGAAGCGCAAAAACACACACTCAATGTGACAACATCTAAATCAGACATTTTAGCATTCACATGACGTTTGTGGATAAATATCAATTGCACCATGAAATGAAGACAACCGTGACTGCTGCAGAGACAGGTCAAAACAACACGATTTTAATTTCGATTACTTGATTGAAATTTGTTATACAAGTGAATTTCACGGTTATGATCATAATATAATTAACGATATGTATATGAGTTATTGTGTATTTGTATATTGACAATTTAGGTTACATTGAAGATTATTTATTGCGTGGATTGTTTTTGAATATGTAACCGAATTTCAACGTTCATAAAATATCTAGAATGCAGACATTCCGCAAACGAATAAGCAACAAAACGAAGTCGAAAATATCAACTCTCCCGATTATCAAAGTTAAACGCCTAACAAAAAACAAAAAAACAAGTTCTAACTAAAACAATATCAGAGAAATTGTAAAACTAAACTTCCACTAAAATTTAGTGGAAGATTATGCACATGTACATGTTTCTGTTTGTGGTCGATCACCTCACTACACACGTTCATTTATCTGCAGTTATTTCACTTGTGACAACCTAAGTATTTATTAATGTCGGACTTCTATAGAAACGTAAATACGAACAATTTTAGCGTGAACTACTTGTGCAAAGTGATATTACTGTGGTGAAATGGTGCTCGCGATACACGAACAATTAGAAGACGCAGCGTTCTGTTTACGTTGGGAAAGAAATATTAAACACTAATTTCACTCAATGGGATTTCCTAAAACCTCCGTTCATCTTGTTTTCTGGTCAATATTTCAGTAATATTCTGGCTTGAACAGATTCGATTCTTTGCGTCTAAAAGTCATAGAACACAAAGCTCCTTGATGAGTTTATAAAATTGGTCATTTATTGTATAAACTAATGCTTTGACGTCTTTGAACAGATTGCACTTTTTTAACACAGATCATGTATACTTTAATCTAATTAACCGAATATTTTATTCAGACTCAGGGTGTAAAACGTTTTTATTAAACTTGTTAATGTAACCGGATGACTTGACCATAACTATGTTAAGATCGTACCCTACTTATGAGTGCAAACACAATACATTGCCCAAATAAATTGTTCTTACAGGCAATATGCGGATATTGTCTTTAAAAAAAGTTGGGGGTCACCAGCCTATTTTTTTAGAAAATGAAGGTTGAATTTAGTGGATATTGGTCATTTTGTCAGTATTATAACGATTTTACCATAGGTTTCTATGGCAGAAACATTATGCCATATCTCAAATTGTAGGCTGGTGACATAGGCTGAAAAGAAATGTATATTGTGAATGATGTTGTACTTGTTTTTAAAATGGTCAACAAATTCATTGTTTTAACATTGTGCTCTACAGAATTGTTTTAAAAATAGCGTGTGTTTTTTTGAAAATAATATAAAACAAATTTTTCAAAATACGTCACTGTAACACACAAAACAATGTTATTTCATGGTGCCAATGGAATATTATAGTTCAATGAGTGATATGCACTCTTCATCCTCGTTCATCATTCAGATTACGACAAAACTAACTAACTTGTATACGTTTTTATATATTTATATAACAGTTAATTATTATCCAACACTGCAAGTTTTACGTCCTTAAAGGCGAATGACTCAATGCGTAGAAGGGTCCTTACATTACATATAAATGTTTATTTCAATTCACCCAATTATAGTTACATTACAACATAGAAAGCAAGTATCACCGAATAAACGGCATGGTAAATACTACGTCAAACACATACTGTATGCGCGAGTCGAACCGGCGCTCTCGCAACATTTTTCATATTGATATATTACTAGTACTTCCAGAGTTGTGCAATGATGCAATGAATATGAAACTTAAATATACAGCAATTTTTAACAAAAAACAAATAATATGTTCTAGTATCTTTGCAAAAATAAAGGCGTAAATACAAATATATGAAGACTTTTCTTAGTTAATCAGCCATTTTGGCACCAAACACGCGCCCCATCGCTATAGTTCCTTCATGAAGAAAATCGTTATGGCGTCTGCAATTCGAACTTGTTCGTGTAAAATCAATGTCGTGCTAGCTAGCATCGCCACAGTGGGGAACGATATAGGAAATACATCACCCAAGTCCATGTCCAGTTTCCATGTGCACGTGGCTAGAAGAAAGTCATTCAGAAGCGTGTTATTGACATAAACTAATAGAAAAGAATACGCAATTCAATGAATGCAATACTATATTGAATTGGCTATGGAATAGCAGACATATATGGTCCAACAGACGAGATTCAATCGCTGGAATCAGTATCGTAACCAGTTACTAACAGTGACATTGAATGGAACATGAAATAAACTTCACAATACGTCACATTCTCAAATGAAGTCAGAATGGCGTGTAAGAAGTTGAAACTACTAGAAATGTATTTTTACCTTTAATTCTCATCTAGTTGAATCTATGCTTTACTTTCCTCTTCGTCTGTATCTGATGAATGGAATTCTTCCACGGTATCCTCATAGTCTATATCCGACGAATCTGAGCTCTCCTACAAACAACCCAAAGTTCGAGTTCTACTTTACAATGAACATGTTTATACAGCATTGTCGTCAATATATAATTCATATATTACATGTTTCAATGCGAAAAGGTAAACATCAACACTGAGGAATTACACTTTTATTTTTATTGCACTCGATTCTCAATTAGACATGTGGTCACCGATCACACGATTTATTCTGATTAATTTCCCTTTGTCATTTAATTATTTAGTTCGCGTATTGTTGTCATAAGATTTGGGTGATCTCGGTGTGCAAACACAATTATTATAGCTTCATTTCACTTTGCAGGACTTGCATATCACCCGATTAACAACTCCTAGATTTGTTGACTGATTCACTCAAGGGGTGTTAACATTTATCTGAATTGGGCGTGTAGCATTAACCTCTGGAAGCGAATTTCATGCAGATCATGGCGATTATTTAAACAGTGAATTTGTATAATATGATGCCGTATAATCGATTTCTTGTACGATATGGCGGGCTTTGTGTGATTGACGTTAAGAAGTTATTGCGACATATATAAGAGTTATATAAGACTAAAGCGAATATCATTTTTATGGAATAAACACAAAAATCGAAATTAAATGTCGGTTTACCAACAATTATTTAAACAGTTGTGAACAGAAAATGGGCTTACATGTCAAGGGTTATAAGGGGCCTTAAAGTCAAGATTTTATGGACTGGTCGACGGCCAAGATTTCCATATTTCCGAAAGGTATACGCGGTACGTCTTCAACACGCGAGTGTGAGCACAAGGTCAGGTTTCATCAACAAACGTTTTTATAATATTTATAACACTCGAATATATTTAGTTGACATTTACAACGAGAAATAATATTTCTGTATTGTTGTAGCATCGACAGATTAGAGGGTTGATAGGGGGTATGAGGTTACGCTATACAAGATATTGGGATATACCCGAGATGTTATTGTAAACTGTTTAGTCATTAGAAACTACATCGCCATGACCGGGAGAGAACGACTACTGTAATTAATTACAAATTAAATTATCCATGAATGTTGAAGTTACACATTTTATTTTACGCATGTTGTTAAGAATTCAAAACCATTGGTCGGCATGGTATACCACGCGCATTTGTACAAAATCACGACATATACACACGAACACAAACGTCATCATAGGCAAAATATTAGTCATAATGCTAATGCTAGCAATCTAAACGAGATATTTAGGGTTGGTATGATACTGGTACAAGTACAGTACATTTCTCGATTTACTGAGTGAGAAACTGACAAAAGGTCGTGCTAGCATGAAACAAGTTGTGTCGTTATATTTCAATATTAGTCTACAATACGCATATACCCTATTTATGAACCCTAGTTATTTTAGTTGCTTTATTTTACTCTATTTTTACCTTACTGTATCCACAGCAAATTACAGTTGCGTAATACACTATTATTATTATAATATCCACAGAAGAATACGTTTGATATGACATGCTTTGTACAATTTACTGAGTGGTAGAGAAATAGTATACCTGAAGTCTTGGTCCATTCTTCAGCAACTCGCACCAATCTATACGACATAGGGTACGACCGGTGATAAAAAGGGCGATACCAAATACTATCAACCCATAAGTAATCAAAAATAATGACATTATTTCGAAGGTTCTGTCCGTGGTATTGATTGTTGATTCATCGCTGATATTGCTAGAAACATTTGCTCTGTCGTCGATTACTGCCAGTGACATTGTTGTATTTTCATCACCATTAACTAAGATCATTGTAGTGCGAGGAGACGATCGCCAGACTAGTGAGTGTTAATGACTGTCTGTCAAGATGACTTGGATTATTAGTATTGCCATGGTGACGACGAGTAGTCTAATTAGTGTATTTCTTGTAGATTTGAATAACAATGCCATTGTCATTAAAGCTTTTCGCCATGGAAACTATATATCTGGATTCATGTTCTCGATTACGTATTTCTCTCCATTGTTATACTAGTATCTAATCTTTGATTGTATGCTCATTGATTTAAATCGACAAAAATTAGAAATATTCTCTCAAAAACTTGAAAAATGTTATACATGAAAGATGGTCACAATCAATGTTTCGATGGGTACTATTGTGCAGCTTTCTCTTGTTAAGAAAACTAACAGTGTGCATATCTTATCTGTAGGTGTTTACAAATGACAAACATTATAGGTAATTGTTGCCATTATTTAGGCTTTGTTCAGTTATGTTTGTCAGTCGAGAATATTAACGAAGAGGTACTTATAGAGTGTGCCCTGGATAAACAAAAATTAGTTTTTTTTTCAAAGAAGAAAAACATGCATTTTTCACCAGAAAAAAAAACACACATTCTTGTCAGCAAAATAAATTATATGACACTACATACAGTTAATGCCAAAATGCCATTCTCGCTACCTTAAATGTTTTTCCAAACATGTCTCTATCGCACACGAAATGATTACTAAAAATTGAAAGCAAAACCTCGTAATTTATTAACAGCCATTTTATAAAGAGTTACTCTTCTCATCAAAACAGACCAGAAATCTTCATATTGCGGGTCAAGGACTTCTTTGGATAGTTACCGCTGAAGTGAGTACCTGGATGGTCCACAATCAAATGAACAATCCCCATAACTGCCTGCCAGTTCACGAGATTTTTGTGAGCTACGAAAACGTGTAGCCATTAGTGTACACATAAGACGGTGTATGCCATGAACGACACATCCTAAACTTATATTCGAGACGGGTGGAGCATACCCAACGGTAACAACAATGCTCAGCACTCCTCCCCATAATGTACAGTGATTAGTAATTCTCCCTAAAGACTACTACTTTCTTGCATATAGCAGTAATTACTTGATGCCCGTGTCTACTTTTTCTCTCCCATATGCTATCGATAATACTAATATATACAAACATATGACTAATTGGACGCCACGATTCTATAGGAACAGCCCCGTAGTATAGTGGCATTCAATGATCATTAAAAAATACAAAGACTGTAAAAACGAACACTGAAACGCGCACTGCGCGATGACTACATCAAACTTCGCTGCTGTAGAAATAATATTGGTCTTTCTCTTTAGAACGGCGCAGGGACAGACGGCGCGCCCATCTACGCCCGTGTATGTCTACAATGCAAGGAGACAATGACGTAATTGTATAGGTGTGACCGTCCATAAATATGGAAGAAAATCAGGAGGAATTGTTTGTCTCTACAAAAAATATTTTGATAGAACAGTTATAATCCCCAATCTCTGATTGATAAAAGTGTTGTTGGTTTGGATAAAGATGTTTTTATTGGGGCTGTTTATATTAGTCCTAAAGATTCTTATGGAAATTAATCCAGTGATTTGTTTGAACATTTAGAAGTTAGTTAGTTGCTAATTTATGCATTTCTGCTTAGGATTATAAATGGGCGTATAGTCGGAGATGGAATTACACTAGCTTTAACAATAATGGAATGGGTACAGTTGACTACATATGAGCAGATGAGAGAGTCCTGCCTATATTTAAATACTTTCATATTTCTCCTTTGATGTACCTCTCAGATCATTGTATTTTATCTTGTTCCATTCACAACAGTCCACTTAATCAGTCCTCAAAAAATATGCATAAACATGACTCTTTTATTAAACCATAGCCTAATTTATTTAACATTAATCACAAAAATAGAGATCAATTCCAACATTCCATGAACCTAGATGTCATTAAAAACAAAATTAACACTTTTATTAATACTAAACAAAACAAAGCAGACACTGGTATAGCTGTCACTGATTTTAATGATATCCTGATAACTGCTGCCAATTTAACAGTTAAAACTACTCATTAGTAATAAACAAAAAAAGAATAGAAATACTAACAAGAATAAAAACCATAAGAAATAGTACAATACAGTTTGTAAAAAAATGAAAATTTCTCTTGTGTCAGCCATTAAACAGATGAATAAATTTCCTAAAGATCCTTGTATCAGAAAACAATACCATGATACATAAACTAATTTTGGGAAGTATAATCCCAAAGGTTTCTGGGAAGTTGTTCAACAACCTAAATAAATAACACTTCAAGTAAAAGTGTGCAGTCTGATTCAGTTGATCCTGAATCATGGTTCAAATATTTTAAACATTTACATGGAAACTCTGATTTGCCTAATACCTCTCCTACCTCAACTCCAACTCAATGTAACAATATTGTCAATACTCCAATATAACTGGAGGAAATAACTAATAGGGTTAAAAAAATAAAATTAAACAAAGCAAGCGCATCTGATCTGGTCTCATCGCAAATGAAATGATAAAATTTTCCATAACACCATTATTCCCTCCTTACAAAAACTTTTTAATCTGGTCTTTAAGTTTGAAACTTTTCCCTCCGTTTGGACCTCTAGTACTATTACTCCTATATATAAATCTGATGATCCTAATAACCCATCAAATTATCGCGGTATGTCTGTGGGGAGTTGTCTTGGCAAACCTTTCTGTCAAATTATTGCAGACAGAATATCTAACTACAGCTATGGTTATGATATTATTTTTGAAAATCAAATTGGATTTAAACCTGGATCTCGGACAGAAGATCACATCTTTACTTTGACTTCCCTCATTTACAAATACACTAAGAGTAAAGGTGGTAAGTCAAAGTGCATATTTACTTGTTTAATTGATTTCAAAAAAAGCTTTTGATTCTGTTTCTTTTCATCTTTTATTTGAAAAATTGCATAAATATGGAATCACTGGTAACATTCTACACCTCATTACTAGTCTTTATAATAAGTGTACTGCATCTGTTAAATTTTCTTCTGGTATTACAAAATATTTCGAATGCAAGAAAGAGGTACGCCAAGGATGTCATATGAGCCCAATTTTGTTTAATTATATGTTAATTATATACTTGGAACCATTGAAAATAATGTTTAATCTTTGTCAGTACCTGAGGTAGAAAAAAGACGTGTTAGCTCATTAATGTATGCGGATGATCTTGTCGTTCTAGCATTGAATGAAAAATCTCCACAGCAGCAACTTAATGTACTGGCAGAAATCGCTTTTAGAAATAATTTGGAAATAAATATATCTAAAACCAAAATTGTAATCTAGTATGTTGGACAGCACCCATAAATTCTACTTTATCATGGATCCTCTATCTGATATTGCTAATAGGGTTTGGTCATACCTTTATCAAATCTACAATCTTAGAGAATACTTTGTTGCTGTGTAATTTTCTATATGTTTTACCCATACCTCTAGAAATGACAGATCGTGGTCAATAAAGTTATATTCATTATCACAGTTGGGTTCGAAAGTGTTTTTGTCGCATTTCTAGACTCGTACCTTGCCTCATGAGCAGTTGCATCCTTGGACGGCGTGTACACAAACGCCCACGATGCAAGGTACGAGTCTAGCGCAAAGCATCACCTTACCGACGTTATGCAGCGCGTTCAAATTTCGAGTAAAAGTCAATGTACTGTCAAATACTTTATTTGCCCCCATTATTAGCCTTGTAGTTTCGCCTTCGTCAGTCTGTCAGTCCGGAGTGATTTCTCGGAGATGGCTGGACCGATTTTTTTGAAACTTGGTACAAAGACATAGTGGTCAATCATACATGTGCATGTAAATTTTCTGATTCAATCAAATATGGCCGACTGGCGGTCATTTTAATACCAAAATTCGGTCAAATTCGGTCCTTGTGTGTCCATCGTCATTTCTCGGAGATGACTTGACCGATTTTGTTGGGACTTGTTACAAAAACAAAGGGACCATCCATACAGATGCACGTTGTTTTACTTTTTTGAAATGATGAAATATGGCCGACTGGCAGCCATTTTGATTGTTAATCATGGCTTTTGTCTGTCCATTGATATTTCTCAGAGATGCCCTGACTGATTTCAATGATACTAGGTACACAGTGAGGAAGTATACATATTCACATGGATTTATTTCCTGATTTGATCAAATATGGCTGCCTGGCGACCATTATTAATGTCAAAATACTGTAAAATCCAGTTTTTTGGGTGTGTCCATCATCATTTCTCGGAGATGCCTGGACCGATTTTGCTGAGACTTGGTGCAAACACAGAGTGACCACTGGTACAGATGCAAATTGATTTATTTTTCAAGGAATCAATTAATGAGCTCATTTGCATATTTAATTATTAATTTGAATTCTTGTTAATATTTTGTGAACTAATAGTCCAAATCAGAGCAAACTAGGTAGAGACTTGATTTGTCAATATAAGATATATGCTACGCAATATTGAGTTTCAATTTAATTAACGAGCTTATTTGCATATTTAATGAATTTCGAATTTTTTTGATATCTTGTAAACTAATAGACCAAATGAGATAAAAGTTGGTATAGACTTACTTGATCAGTCAATATACGATATGTGCTATGCAATATTGAGTTTTAACTTAATTAATAAGCTCATTTGCATATTTAATTAATTTTGAATTTTTCTTAATACAGTACTAGTATCTTGTGATCTAATATCTTGTGAACTAATTGTCCAACCGAGACCAAACTTGGTATATATTTACTTGATCTGTCAATATAAGATGTGTTCTATGCACTATTGACTTTCAACTTAATTAATGAGCTAGTTTGAATATTTAATTAATTTTGAATTTTTGTTAATATCTTGTGAACTAATAGTTCATGCATTTGCTATTTAATATTGACTCAATTTAATTTCTATATTCAATTGATTGTGATTTTTTGTTAAAATTGATGCAAATTTTACCAAATTTAATAGAGATGTACTAGTTAACTTTGAGACGTTTTGGGTGTTTTGTATG